AAAAATTATTTTATTCTTAAGTATACATATTTAAATTATATGGCATTAGGACAATTTTTGAATATACAGTATTTTATGACAAACACGTATATATTTTTAAAACGTACAAAAATAAGCCTTGTCAAAAGTTAGGCATAAGAATTATRTAGGTGYCMATTTAAATTGTAATGCTATATTTATACTCATAAATAGGACCTGRAAATGTATGCATTTGCATATTTTTATTTATTAAATTAAAAGTAGCTAGATAAGACACAAATTTGAATCTTAACCTAATGTGATGGTATGTAAAATTAAATGTTGCATATTTGGAACATTTTTAATTTTTATGCATATTTTACCATTTCTCCAAAATATAATTCATATTTATGAAAAAATAGTATTAAGTTATTAATACTATAAGAGTTAACGTGATGTYCTATACTCCTATGTAARACCTGCGAATATGAAACGAAAAMAMATTGCTAAAAATCGACATGCATTTTAATTTGAAAATGTATCTAAGTCTTTAGTTGTTTAAAGTTAACTGTAACTCTCCAGGTAACTTTGAAATATTGTATTATAAAAATATACCTAATAAATTTGTNTGTTGTGCACTGCGTCCAGCACGTCGTGATGAGACATCTCGCCGGTCAAGTATAAACCGGCGTCGACACCGCGCAATACGGACGCACCTGAACCGGCCACCACCGCGGCTGAACCGATCGTCGACTCTGTAAATCACGCAAATAATTATACATATTATTCTAATATAATACAATGTGAAATTATAATGCGTTAGTGCTTCGATTTAGATGCAATTAAAAACAAGAATAAAAYAGTTATTATTCTATCAATTTTGAAAACTTATTGATCTATAGACAATTTTTTAAACAAATCGTCTTAATTAAGCACTTTCACTTTGATTTTTATACATTCATCAAAATCGTTTATTTAAATCTTACGTTAAATATAAAATATTTTGCTCACGCTGATAAAATGAACTTTATAAGTCGTATTGTCCGTCGTAAATTTTAGATGCAA